AGCAATAGATTCATATTTTCTGGATATCCATCGCATTCTTTGACCAGTTGTACGGTCTGTACGGACGGAATCTCGTCCACATCCGAGCAGATGATTATATCACCGGTTTTGGCGTATTTGGACACAACTCGGTTCAAGAAAGCCCTCATAAGGCCCTCATTTCTAAATGGATTTTCTCCCGGTTTTAATACTTTGAGTCCACTATAGGAATGATATCGCAGTTTCTCTTTAGCCCACGAAAAGTCTTCTAATCTCTCGTTTAGATAAAGTCGTTTCTGTTTTCCGGTAAATGTCTTGTCGGCCTCTAAGACAATGAAATGGTCGACAAAAGGCCACAACTCTTTGATTCTGATCTCTAATAAGTCCAGTTCTACGGAGAATATGATTGTGTCGATCACTTGCACTGTATTTGTCCTCTTCTGCCAGCCGTGGAGATAACATAATTGACTTGAATTAAGTTCTTCAGAATAATAATGTGGTAATATTGTGAATGGCTTTCCTTTATACTTGTCCCAAACTGGTCTGTATGTGTTGAATATATTGGTTATATTAATTAAAAACTACTATTTAAAAAATTTTAAAACATTAACATTACATTATAATTTATAATATAATGGTTTTAAATGATTATAACTTAAAACAGAATTTTTTCACAAATACATTGGAAAGAAAAATCAATGAAATATTATTGGAAAAGATTTTGACACGAATTACTGGAAAATGAACAGTAAATAGAGAGTAATACAATTGAATACCTCGTTAAATAAATCAAGTCTCGGACAGCGATTTTAGTTGGAGTCCAGTTATACACACAAAATATGGTTAAAACCAGAATCGATAGAAACGCGAACCGAAAAGTTCTCAAACTAACCATTTGTGGACTTTTTTCGATTTCTAAAAGCACTTCACAGAAGCACTACATTCACTGCCAAACAATATATGAATCTATTTTGCAAATGTTTATTAAATGACGACAAAACCAATTATTGATTAAGTTTTTTGTTTAGTTATTATGTAGAAAATCATAAGAAATAAATCGATAAACCCCTTGCATTCAAATCGAGTTTACAAAACGTTTAATTCATTAAATAATAGACAAAATTCTGTTGAATAGAAAAAATATTAAAATGAGAATTCAATAAAGACTGATATTTTTGGTGTAATAATAATAATACATAAACTTTCTTATTCTTGAGAAGTAATAAATAAGATAATGAAATAGATTGTGAGACAAAACTGTGTAATACAGCAATAAATTGCAATCATAAAGCAATTTAATTGTCGAAACAGTGTCTCAATGTATAACAATAATGACATAAATTATTTTTGGTAATTATTATATAAGTTATATTAGAAATAGAATACAAAAAGTCTAACAAATTTTAAGCTTATAATGACATGCAATCACGAAGTTTGTAAAATTATTTCGTGCAAGATTAAATACTTTCATACACATCAATGATGTGACATCATACAGTACCTGCAAAAATCATATTAAATCGACATTAATAAACCAATTTTAGTGCTGAATATTACTGATATTATTTGTTAAAACAATGATTAAAATCATAAAACTTGTTGTAAATATAAAACAATGAACAAAATGATTGTGCCTAAATTCACATTAGACCAGAATATAGTATTTAATTGAAATAAATGTGCATCAGATATGCATTAAATGTTTTTCATATTAATTATGAATAGGTTTTATGTTATTTTATACATATTTTGCACTCTCAATATAATTGACTAAATCTATATAAAAATTCATTATCTTAATTAATTCTCCAAAATTAAAATATAGATAAATCAATAATGGGTTAAACAGAATATGAATAAAATATATGTCAAATATTGGGAAATTGTATTATTATTGAAATATTTAATTGTATTTCTGTTAAAGATTTCTGTCATTTTTTTTAACAATTCGTTGTCAACTTATTTAGTTTTTAAAAATTACAGACCACTAAATTATGGCACAAATTATTATAATATTTTAACTAAATTTTACTAAAAACATTGAAAGGATGTATAATTTAACATAAATGCAATTAGTTTTGTAAATTTGGTCAATTCTGTTGTGAATATAATTTATAGTAAAGAATATATACAGTACAGTATGATATGGTTAAACATAATAAAAATAATCTAAAGTCTCATTGTATTAATATTAATAATACAATTTTAAAAGCATAAATATAATATAAAATTTGTTTTTAGTATAGTTTAAATAATTGATTGATTTTATAAACAAATTTATAGCAATTTTATTATACAAATTAAAAATGAAATATTTTAATTCTTTAATAAGATTTACTTTATTTTCTATCATTTGTTTTATAAATGTTTTGCATTTACAAAACACATTTCATTCAATCAATATTCACAGGCCATTCCAAAATAAAAAGGGGCTTTTATTATTTGAACGTGGTTATTGTTTGAACTTGGTAATATTCTATATATTACTCACAGTAAATGTGAATAGTGTATGAATAATGTGCACTATTTTTTATAAATTTGCCCTACGTTGGCCCTAGGTTGGAATGCTGTGAATATTCATAACAAATACAATAATATTAGCAAAGATTTATTAAATAGTAATGAGTTTGTATATACAGTGTTTTGAGCGAAACAATCTTTAGTTAACAACTTTCTTTGTTTTGTTTAATTTAAAATATAAAACATTACTTAAATTAATTAAGAAAAATATTTACCAAAAGAATTCAATGTTTATCACAATAAATGAGTTTTAAGTTATTATTACTTCCAATAAGTTATACTTTCTTTAAACTAATGGTTTGATTATAATCTTCGCGAACGCATCCATTGGGCAATAAAAATGCAAACTTTGTCGGGTTTCTCATCAAATGTTTTGGCAAATTAGTCATTGTNTAGTTTTTAATTAATATAATCAATATATTCAACACATGCAGACCAGTTTGGGACAAGTATAAAGGAAAGCCATTCACAATATTACCACATTATTATTCTGAAGAACTTAATTCAAGTCAATTATGTCATCTGCACGGCTGGCAGAAGAGGACAAATACAGTGCAAGTGATCGACACAATCATATTCTCCGTAGAACTGGACTTATTGGAGATCAGAATCAAAGAGTTGTGGCCTTTTGTCGACCATTTCATTGTCTTAGAGGCCGACAAAACATTTACCGGAAAACAGAAAAAACTTTATCTAAACGAGAGATTAGAAGACTTTTCGTGGGCTAAAGAGAAACTGCGATATCATTCCTATAGTGGACTCAAAGTATTAAAACCGGGAGAAAATCCATTTAGAAATGAGGGCCTTATGAGAGCTTTCTTGAACCAAATTGTGTCCAAATACGCCAAAACCGGTGATATAATCATCTGCTCGGATGTGGACGAGATTCCGTCCGTACAGACCGTACAACTGGTCAAAGAATGCGATGGATATCCAGAAAATATGAATCTATTGCTCAAAATGTATTTATACTCATTTGAATGGTTTCTTGTGGACGAAGAAGAGAGCAGAAGCGCTCACATCTCACTCTATAGACAAAACCAGTTCCGATACACTCACGGAAGGACTTCCAACTATATATTGGCCGATGCGGGTAAACAATAACCATTACTGTTATGATCATTACTAATGCATTTACAAACTCAATTCAATTTGATTTACCATAATTAATGACCACATATAGGATGGCACTGTTCCTTCTGCTTCAGGAATATCTCTGATTTTATATTCAAAATGACTTCGTATTCACACAACGATAGAGTTGTTGATCCAAAGCTATTACTAAAGGAAGAGATCCAGAAGAAGATATGCAACGGACAGAACATCTATAATATGTTTCCCGAGTTTTATACCATTAAGGAAATGGTGATGAAATTGGGACCACTTTCTAAATCCAAGACAATGACTAATTTGCCAAAACATTTGATACAAAATCCAAAAAAGTTTGCATTTTTATTACCCGACGGTTGCATTCGTGAAGATTATAAATCATAACATAAATAAACTTAAATATATATACAGTTTCTAAAACAATACAATCAATTCATTATATGTTAAATGTTAACAAATTCCACACAAAAAGAAGTTTTATTTATTTATACATAAATTAAATATTATATAAAAATAGCAAAACATAAAAATAAATCATTAAATTATCGAAAGAAATGAGAAACGAGTCAATGATTAAAATGAAATATAAATTACAAGTCATTACTATTGGCTATCACTCGACGAACTGCTGGACGAGTCGGTGGACATGACCTCGACGTCGTCCGTGTCTTTATTGCCCTATAACAGCTTGCGGCCGCCGCCTCCTATTGGCCGTGGCCTTTCCCGCGAGTGTAACCCGAAGTGCAGGACAGGGGTGCGCTTGCTGCTCAATGACCTTAACGACCGTCATGAGCCGCCAGCTGGGTAGTCTTGCTGCTGCTGTTGGGCCGTCTGAGCGCCGCTGCCATAGTTGTTCATCTGATGGCTCTGTTGGGCTATAATGTTGGACATAGTGGTGGGATCGCTGGCGTTGGCCAATAGACCGGAACGCATCTCCACGTCTGTGGGATAGGGCCGCCTCTGGTCACCGATTTCCCAATTATACGGCGCCGACACCGAGTGGGCGGCACTGATCTTATGGGCGTATCGAATCAGCTCTTCTGATTGCATCGGTTGTGTTGTGGCCTTTGATATGATTTGTAGCTTATGTTTGGCCTGATATATGGCAGTCGACTGAATGTATTCATTGAAACAAATAATCACATTATTTATACAGTATTTGTATTTCAATAATACTGTCTATCGATTGCATACCAATATATGTTCGGCTTCTTTGAGATTCTTCTGGAGCTGACGGATCTGTTGGTCGTGTTTGTCCACCTCTTCGCGCAGTTCACACATACTCTTGTGGACGTCTTCCTGCTCTTTAGCCAACC